GGGTTTCACTGTGTTAGCCAGGATGGTCTCAATCTCCTGACCTTGTGATCCGCCCGCCTCAGCCTCCCAAAGTGCTGGGATTACAGGCGTGAGCCACTGTGACCAGCCAGGCATTGAAATTTTGTTGTCCCCTTCCCCTATCCCCACATGTCCCATTTTTTCCTTTCATGTTTTTGTGTATTCCCTAGATTTACCTGATTATAGCTGATTCTTTCAATGACATTCAGACTCAGAAGGTCTTTTAACATTTAAAATTTATTATTTCTTAGGAAAAAAATAGTTTCATACTGTTTTGGTCTTTCTTTTTATTTTTTCCTTGTTTTTAATAGAATCTTGCTCTGTCTCCCTGGCTGGAGTACAGTGGTGTGATTGTAGCTCACTGCAGCCTTGAACTACTGGGTGATCAAGTGATTCTCCCACCCCAGTCTCCTCAGTAGCTAGGACTATAGGCACACACCACTGCACCAGCTAACTTTTACATTTTTTTGTAGTGATGGAATCTCACTCTGTTGCCCAGGCTGGTCTGGAACATCTGGCTTCAAGCGATCCACCCACCTTGGCTTCCCAGAGTGTTGGGATTATAGGCGTGAGCCACCTTGCCTGGCCATGCTACATTTTGAAATGATGGAAATGTTTTAAAATCTGAGTTTTGTATCTGTGTGACAATTTTAAAGGGACACACATAGACACACGCCCCCAAATGTAAAACTAATATGACGAACTCATAATAATATTTTACAATGTATTTTGCAAAGATCTGACTTTCATAGTTTATGAAGAACGTATACAAACCAATAAGAAAAAAATTAGTAATGAACAGAAAATATGGACAAAAGATGTGAAAAGGCATTTATGAAAAAAAAAAATAAAAATTTTACTTCACTCCTAGTTAAGGAAATGAAAATCAAAGTGAGGTGCTACTTTGTTAAAAAAAATTAGATGAGCAAATGATACCTATTGTTGATGGGGATATAAAGCAGTGGACAGTCTCCTGCACTGTTGATGATTTAATTGGTTAGGAATTCATTTTGTCTCAGAGTAATAGAAAATTTGTATATTGATAGTAGTTTAAACAAATAGGAATTTATTTCCTCACACAATAGAAAGGTGGCATTTTGTTAGCAGCTTGATGATGTCACGGCTGGTGTTTCTTAATATTCTTAATCCCTTATAGACTACTTCATAGACATGAATTGTTTCAGATATGGTCAAATCCAAGGTAAGAATAAATTGGTAGAAGAAAGAACCATACTAGTTGTGATTGTCCCTTTTTATCAAAAAAGCAGAAGCTTTCTCAGATCTCTGCAGCAGATGTTCTTTTCAGTTTTATGGTCACTTACATGAGATTAAGTATATTGCTGCTTTGAATGAAATCAGTCTTTTATTAGTAAGGAAATTACTAAAATAGTGAGAAGGGATATTCAGTAGGCAACTAAAAGTGTCTGCCAGATGACTAGTGCAACTTTTCCAGAGAGAAATTGTCAGCATCGGCCGTGTACAGTGACTGACGCCTGTAATCCGAGCGCTTTGGGAGGCAGAGGCAGGTGGATCATGAGGTCAGGAGATCAAGACCATCCTGGCCAACATAGTGAAACCTCGTCTCTCCTAAAAATACAAAAATTAGCTGGGCATGGTGGTGCGCACCTGTAGTCACAGCTACTCGGGAGGCTGAGGCAGGAGAATTGCTTGAATTCGGGAGGCGGGGGCTGCAGTGAGCTGAGATCACGCCACTGCACTCCAGCCTGGGTGACAGCGAGACTCTGTCTCAAAACAAAACAAACAAAAAAATCATCAGCTCTTTCCAAATTTAATATTATTTTTCAATCCAAAAGTTACACTCTTCAGAGTTTACCCACAAATAAGTTTCTGTTTTTCTGAATCATTTAGAGAACTTGGTAGAACTATAACTTTCTTGGCCCTTCCCTAGAACTCAGAATCATTGTAGTCGGTGAGCAATCTATATTAGTTTTAAACAGCTTACTGGTTGACTTGTATGGAGCCAGATTTGCAAATTTCTGCGTAGACGACTTGTGTGGAGCCAGATTTGCAAATTTCTGTGTAGATGGTAGTGAAACCCAGATTTTTAAAGTATGGTAGTCGTAAAGTTGTAAAAAAAAAAAAAAAAAAGTATCCAGTCATTATATAGCTGACTTTTAAAAAAAATAACAAAAAACTTCTCCCCCCATTCAGTTAAGTAATTGCAGATGAGCAAAAAGAATAAAGGGCACATCTCTCTTTTGTATGGAGAACAACTGTTAACACCAGCTGTCAGTTTTATTGTATTTTATTTTATTTGGTGTAAATCCTTACAAATCTGTGAGTGCATGTGTGTATGTATATATATGTATTTTAAAAATATATAATGGATGTTTTTCTGTATCAATACGGATATACATATTTCCCTTTTAATTCTTATTGTTCCATTATGTGAGTGTATGATTTATGTTTTTTTTTTTTTTTT